GGTGATCCGCTAACGTTAGCGGATCACCAATTATCCTTTCTATCGGTACTGTACTTCTTTGCTGAACCTATCTTGCACTCTAGCAAGCAGATGACTTCTGGAATTCATAATCTTTGTCAATATTTATCTTCCCTTAAATGTTATCTTCGTTTTTCACTTACAGAACAAAAGTTAAAAAGTGCTTCCACAATAGTAGGAGAACTTCTGTGTTTAAAGAAAAATGTTGTTTTTGTTTGAGAAGGAATAACATTGGCATTTCTGCAATAGTACAATAATGTGGCCAGGGATTGTTTTGATGGAAAAACCAGTGTGGGTGAAATATTGACTACAATGAAACTGATATTGAATAACAGTGGGATGAGTCGTAACAACAGAACCTGACCCTAAACCACAAAAAAGTAGTGTTCCACACACTTTACATTGAGTTGATAATATTCAGAGGAGCTTTTGGATTTAGGCATTAAAGGGAATGGAGGACTTGCATATTGAATTTTTTTTTGAGATGGATAGAGAATCAATAATCAGAGGACATACATTAAAAAGTTGCAAGCAAACTTCAGTCATAACTTTCGTAAATTTGCATTTTCTGTTCGCTAACTTAACGAATAGAACGCATTGCCCAAAAATGTATTTTTGGCAGAATGTATTAATTCTTGTAAATTTGCTTTCAAAAATGTCCACAGAAACCAACCATTTTATTTCAATTATACCGCCATATGACCTGACCTAATAATTACGATGGACGTATAAGCTTATAAGCTCTGCTTATGTTTCTGCAATCAAGTAATTAATGAACTTTTTGAACATGTGGTAGGATCTTGTGCAATAGCCTATGGGCTATTACATTTTATCTCAAACATCATTTTTATATTTGTCAATAAATTTTTATTGATCTTATTTTAAAGTTTTACTTTTCTTATTATGTCTTGGGTGAATTATTTTGAAAAACAAAATTATATTTTTATTTTACTAAACAAGGTATAAAAATGTTCACCTTAAGTCAAAACATGATTTAAAGGTTTTGAAATACAATACTCCAATCATGTTAAAGAATAAGTGGCTTATCTTTGCAGACATGATCACAAATCCTGTTTTCATACATGCTTATGTTCTAAGGCTATATATTCACTTCTCGATAAGATGTTAACACCAGTGAAAGTACAAAATAAATTTTGTGTTGCACAAAAATGATGGTTGCAAGATCACATCAGTAAAACAGCATGCATGAGAATTTTGTTAAACTGGCCAATATAATAATAGTAATAGTTTTAGTCATTGCTAGAATATTACAGTATAATCATGACCATTCTCAAATACCAACATCATTAATCTGGGTAACAATGGTCACATTGGTACAGTAGGCTGTTTACATCTCGTAATTATTCTTCTTCGTAGCATGTCGATACATACAAGCTATGATACTATAACCTGATTGTTCTTGTTGTGTATGGTAGTGATAGGATTAGCTTTACCCTGGGCCGCAACGAGGGCACTCCTCTCTTGACTTTCATAAATGAGGACGCTCCTCATAATTTCATTAATAATTTCTGAAAGTCATGTAATGGTTGGATTTAAGTTACTTTATCTTGAGTGTGGTGAATATGAAATAAGATATGACTACAGATCTTTATGCAATTCTCTTTTAGTTACTGTTATCATAGGTGGATAACATTAATTTAATGTTGGTCCGTAATCAAAGTCAAAATTATATAATATAAAAAATAAACAAGAAGTCCTTGCAACTAGGTAACACTTACTCCAAAATTTTGTGGCAATTGCTTGTCCAACTGAGTAGAAGCAAAGCAGTACCACAGCAGAGACCAAAATAAATGCAACAAATCCTGCATTAGATATGACCCGAAATACTGGATACACCCAGATATTCTTGACAATACCTAGAAACAAAATCCTAAAAAAGACACATGAAAAAAAAAATCTAAATTAATGTATTTTTTAAAAGCATATGATATTTAAACACTGTATGATATGCTTACATAACATGATATATGAAATATTAAAATAGTACATACAGTGTTCTTTTGGTAAGGAATAAAAAATGAGAGGGCATAGGAAAGGGCATTCACAGATATAAAGTGTCCAGATGACTACACAATATTATAGTAATGGCACCTCTAGGTAACCAGAAATAGCACTATAGAGTCGTCAAGGAATCAAAAATATTAACATTTTAAAACATTAAGAATAAATTTAGAATGTTAATTAGAACTTGTACTGTAGGTTTGAAGGTATTAACAATCATATTTTATATTGTGTCCTACCAGTAAAGGTAATTTTAAAGCACTTACAATGGTATTACACTTGGTCACTAGATTGTCGTACTGTACAGTAACAATCACGATGTACAGTACAATCTCTTCCACCCCGTTGGGAAGCATTCCAAGTCATGTTGCTGTGAAGTGTAGTGCCCTTTGCATCACGATGAATGGAATGATCCCAACGGAGTTGAAAAGGTTCCCCATTGTAGTGTTGTATCTTTTTGGCAAAATATAAAATATAAATTTCTATATTTAGATTTTTAGACAAATGCACAATGCCAAAACTGGGGCAGCTGACCTTTTTGGGGCAGCTGAGATATAGTGACTCATTTTTTTAAGCTTCCCTGAGGTTTATCTGTTATTGTAATTTTGTTGTCTTCATCTGGTCAATAAATGAAACAAAAACATCCTACCAGATAACTATATATTCACAAGTGAAGAAAGACAAATTTAGTGCCAACTTCAAAAGAAAAAATACAGTGCGAGATTAGGTCCCCAATCACAAAGTTGATAGCCTGCATTGCAACCATTCATGATTAGGGTATTTACTGTATTAAAGTAGATATTAATTTAAAAATCTCAACTGAATATCCTAATAATCATGCAGAAGAGAATTCAATAGATAATGAGATGTTGGACTTCTGATCGTGAGATCGGGAGTTCGAGACCGACACTTGTCGCATTGCTTGTGTCCAAGGGCAAGGCACTTTACTCATGTTTGGCTCTCTCCACCCAGGAGTATAAATGGGTATCTAGTAGGATGGTGTGGCATTGAACGTATGTGGTTGTGCATTTAAAGCAGCATGAATAGGGATACTCCCTAGAGAGCAGAGAAATTTGCTAGTTTGCCAACTAAGTATCCAGTGACCAGGGAAATACTGATGCCAACGCCTCTGTATATTCTCCGAAATGAGAAAAGCGCCATACAATTTCGGATTCTAAATAAAAAAAAAGGAAATGCTTGCTTTCCAAAGAATTCCAACCTATGCTGTCTTGAATGAGTAATCAGGGCCTACCTATAGATTCAATATGACCAAATACTTAATACTTGAGCATGTGCACAACTGATTACTATTATGAGCAGATACACAATATTTGAGCTGGTTTCAACATGAGCAACTTCTCATTAGCAGAAGGTACATGCTATATCAGCCTCAGGTAATATATGAGCAGATATTATAATACAGTTATAGTATTATAGTTTGTTATAATATAATGTTAATGCCAAGTATAAAAAGTGTTATTTACATAAACCAAAAGATTACCCATGCAAATTCAATTGATAAAACCTTTGTAACGTTTCAAGTCTCAGCGAGATTGAAGATTAAAAACGCTGATAATTGATACTGTACTGTAATAGTTTATCCTCTGACTACTGTTCCGTACCGACATTGATTAGTAGTAAGGAAAGCAGTTGACTGTCTACATGCTGTCTGCGACCGTGGGATAACCACGCCCACAACGTAATCTGTCTACGTCTTCAGCAACTGGGCAACGTTGACCCACTGCATCTTCTCCAATTTAGACGATGGAGAGAACAAGCATCATTGATGAGAACATCATCATTACAGCAAAAGTGCATCTCAGACTTCTTTGGATAAAAAGCTGATGCTCATTTTTCAAACCAAACAGCTTCCTTCAGGGCCATCAAATTTTATTGCTAGTGCATTTTGTCTGCATTAAGTTAACCCAGAACCCCACCACCAAAACATGCATAATGTTCGTATCCTCGCGTAACAAAAATATGAATCAATTAAAAAAAAATTAAAATTAGAAATTTTAAGTAACGGTTTTCCTACAGTTATAATTATTTTCTCACTTTTGTATATTTACGAATCAAACAATGTTATAAACGGCAAAATAGCATTTCAGATTTTTACTTTGGCCTATGCAAAAAATAGAATGGTCCAACTTGGTCCAACCGCATCTCAGCCCATCAGTTATAATGTCTTTGTTGATTTTACAGGGTAGTAAACAACAACGCAACAAAACGTGTGCATTGATCGAGTAGCGAGAGTGGCGTCTGTAGCTAAACAATAATTTGTTCACTATGAAAATTAAGCAGTATCAGTGCCTACAGTGCAGTACTGTATTAAACCTACAAACTTTATTACGATTGTACTTGAATTATTCTCGTATACGTATATACATTCTTGTATTTTGATATCAATACTAGCCTAGGCCCTAGGCCTAGTATATGCCAGTGTAAGTAGTACTGTACCAGTGCAAATATATAGGAATTTGGGTCAACTCCCATTTTACGAATACCACAATTACGAAGGGCCCTGGGCCCGTGCCGTACGTAATTGAGGGGTTCTACTGTAATATGCAAAGGGTACAACTTCTTGAGGAAAAGCACTCAACCCACAAAAATTCATTCCACCCAGGAGCAATGTAATCAACACACAGTAGCCAAACCACCAACTACAGAGTAAGCATCCAGAAATTTGCAAGGACCTCCTTCCGAATGCCAGCCTAGCAATTGCATACTCAACTTCTACATACTGAAGGGCAAAATGCAGCAAGAGAACCGCTTGGTTGCAGCCCTCAGTGTTAAAACAAAAATTCACTTTGGACCTCCATCCTATATTTTTGCCCACCCTGTGTGCTACATTTTAAGCTTTAAACAAAAGTATTGCTGCACATCCAGAAGCATAACAGGGTACAGGACATGGTACTGTAGGTATTAATGCCAATGCACTGATTTTATGCAACATTATCAGAGAATATTCCCCAGGGAGCAGAGTATGTGCTCCATAGGTGTTCGGTCCAATGACTGGTGTAATAATAGGAAGTGCATGGGGGCCTTGGCTTTACATGCTCTGTGTGACTGACATTATTATTATTATTATTAGTGTTTAGTCATTCAGGTTGGATTCAAGTTGTATTATGAATGCTCATGTCTCTTATAAAATTTTAACTGTATTTTAAAAAAAAATGATCAGACTGAATGCTGAATTTGTTTTATTCTAAATCTTAATTTTTTTTTTAAATGTGGTGCAAACTATTGTTATTTTCCTTTTTTTATACTCTTCTTGTAAATCACAGATTGAGGTCTCACCACAGAATTATTTGAATGGATAATGGTATATTTGCATTCATCTCATTATTTAGCTCGAAATTTGCTTGTTAAATGAGTTTCCTAGAATAAGTAGATCCAAAGATGTGAGCTTTTTAAGTTTAGATATATGAAAAACTAATTTTGAGAAAATAAGCTTTAAAGGCAGATTAAACATAAACAAATAATAGGACTGGAAGCACAAAATCTGCATAAAGAACACTTTTACAGAAGTTCATAGAAGAGTATAACATATTAAAATTTAAGTAGCAAATTATTTTAAAATATTGAGACCAAAATTTCTTTAAAATACTGACCCAACCTATTTTGGTAATTACAGTATCTTAATATGATCTCACCAATGATGCATCCTCACAATGTAGTGAGCCCTCACATATATCTGTGAAATGTAAGTTTAATCTTATTTGAATTGAATTTGGATCACCTAATATAGTCACTGAGCGATGGCAAGATGTTGATTAGGCTACAAATTCTTTCTTTTAGTATAAATGATAATAATAATAATAGATGTATTTACTGTATACAGCGCAAATAAACAAGGTCTCTATGCGCTCGATAATAGCTCACAGTACGTACTCCAATGGCATCCATTAATGAACAAAGTTGATGAACTTGTTGAGCTGAGTGCTCGGGAACAAGCGGATGAGTGTAGTCCGAGAACTTCTTGCATGTATGTGGGTGATAGGTTATGGGGCAATTTGTACACAAGATCGGTTTGATATTAATACATATAGATTCTTTGCTTAAAGTTATAAATTAATATTTTTTTTATAAATACCTGTATAATTTTTAGGTTTCAATCGCCCCACACTAGATATCTTAAAAACTGATCTACTGATCTGTATGAAAATTTCTAGAAGTGTTAACCAAGTTACAAAGAAGACATTATTACATTTGGTGATGATTCAGATTAGGATGTGAATTTGGGGGTCATTTAAAATGCTAACACCCCAGACATAAATATCTCAAAAACTGATCAATGGATCTGAATGAAATTATCTATAATGGTTTGTCACGTTCTAAGGAAGAGAATTCAATTTTGGTGATGATCCGGAGTAGGGTGTGAATATAAGGACCATTTAAAGAGAACTTTCCAGACCTAGATATAAAAGAATAATAAATGCATCTGAAAACCATTATGGAATGGTTTGTCATGGCCAAGAAAGAAGTCTGAAGTTGGGTGTGCATGTGGAGACCCTTAAAATAATGTCCCAGACCTACATATCTTAAAAACCGATCAATGTATCTGAATGAAACTTTCAAATTTCTAGAATGGTTGGTCATGGTCCAAGGAATAAGTATTGGTTGTCTAGTTGGTAATAACATTTGGTTTGTAAGCGACAAACCAAATAATAATAATCATAATTTTTTTCAAAAAAGGAAAACATGCATGAGAATTTTATACAAGGTGGGAATTATGATGTGGGCAGAGGTATATACTCTCAGTGGAGTGTGCTCTGGTATACTTTATGTAATAATTTATTTAAACATTGTTGCTGCCAAGATTTCTTAAAAACCTATCTGAAGAATTACAGATAACCTACCATGCAAGGTACGACAATCCAATCGCAAGACATCCTAGAATGCCATTCTTCCGTGAAGGGTAGCTGTGGCGAATTATGTACATTTCAATAACTAGAAATGGTATGATAACTGAGTGCTAGTGGAAAAAACATAAAAAATAAAGATCAACATACTGATGGTTACTTTCTATATATTATGAGTTCAAACCAATCTGATGAGGGCCAGGAATATATGCATGTCATAACACACACACGTTTAAGGGACCTAAGCAACAACATTCAAGTGGCGGAGCTTAGCGAAATTTTAGTGTGTCATCTGTTTTGTGATTTTGGGCACTGCCCAAAATTTTTTCAATGTTAGGGATTAAAGGTTTTAATATGCCAACTATCAGAACTTTGACTCTGTGCTTCTTAGTTCTGTATCTTGTTTTACATTTGTTATATCTAATACATCAAATTTAATCATTAAGGAGACTAAACTTGAAGCATTTAATTAGACCACAATCATTTTGAGCATAGCAACCATGCTCAAAATAGGTTCAAGCTTAAAATGCTCCACCCTCGACTCCAGCCTTTGGTAGCCCATGCTACGGTGGCTTATAGTTCCCTGGTTCTCAATTTGCTTTTCAGACTGGAGTCAATTTTATAAGCAGTACCATGTGTGCCTTAGTTTGGGGATGCTGCCCTCTTGAGAGTCGACAACCACCTCTGACCTCTGCTATACCATAATAATAATAATAGTGTAGTTTTATATAGCGCACATATCCATCTAATGCAAGATGCTCAGGGTGCTTGATATGTGGGCTAGGAACTCGATCAATGACTTTCTTCGCCCCTAAGGGTCCCTTCGTGTCTGTGCTACCCGGTAACACGGTACCAGCAACTCTCGTCATCCACCACAGGGGCTGTCTGTTCCAGTACACCGGGTTATCCCTCTGGGTTCTTTATAGTGCACACAAGCCATTGTATACACTGGGCCTACGGTTTATAGCCCTTATCTGAGAAGACTTGTTCTACCACCAGAACCATAGGCGAGCGTGCCGTTCGAACCAGCGCTGATATTATGGCTATAGCTTGCGGCGTCCCTGCTAACCGCTCAGCCATTCGACATGATAGAGGTGAGAAAATTTTAAGGATATCGGCTCATCTAGTTGCCAAATACTTTCCACTGTGTGATTATAAATATATTTCATAATGATTTTTATGAGTAGATAAATTTTACCATGATATGATTCAGCCAGCTTGGAAAAATAGCATCAAATGACGCTGGAAAGATCAACTCCCGATCAATGGAATACAAAATCCAGAACACAGTTTGTACAAGCTGAAAAAAAAAATGAATTTCAATAGTCAAAACTTCACAATCTTGTTATAAGGATAGGCAAGAATTTTGTTATACCTTGTATAGAGAACATCCGTCTTCTTATAAAACATAGGCCCAGTGTACACAATTGAATCATGTGCACTATAAAGAAATCATCAGTACATCATTCAAGATGAGTAGGAGGATTACTCCTGTGAACTGGTTCATCTCATAGCCCCTGCCCTCATCCAGATGTTGAACAGGCATTGAGCAGTACAGTATCTGCATAAAATAGAATTAAAATAGAACCCACCACCTGCCAATAATGAGAATTTTGAATAAAAATAAGATTTTATTTTTGGCCAATTAGCACACCCACCGCCGCCAGAAAAAAAATTTCAGAAAAGTTTCTTTATTTTAATTACACCTAACCCCCCGCTACCAAAATTTCATGTTGATTGTTTTTCCACCCTCCTCTGACGATCTTTAAAAAACATATGTTCGCTAAACAAGGTATAAAAAAGTCTCACTTAATGGGTACTGCACCAACTTCATTATCAGTGCTACAGCGTTATAGAGACTGAATAAACAAAAACGTAGGCTGTACTATTAGAAAACGCCAGAAAGTAAGATATTTTGTAGACCAGGCGAAGTGAAATGCTAATGGCTAGGCTTATGTCAACAAGTCAATGGCAAAAAACCTGTAGAAACAGGGCCTTAATGCAACCCAATATATCAACCTACCTAAAAAGGGCCACGACATAAAACATTGTTTAAATAAATCAGTTAAATGTAATCAAAATGAAACAAAATCATGCAAGAGAAACGACAACAATAAAATGATTTAGAATAGAGCCACTTACCGCAGCAAAAGGAAAAGCAATACTTGCAAGAAAACAATCGCGTATATTTGAACACTTTCTACCCACAACTGTTGGGCCTGACGTCAGTACCAAATCTGTTATTGTGGCTCCCGCAAAATATACAGTCTGAAAAAGCTATAAAAAAAACCAAATTTAATATAAGTAAGTATGCCCATGTTACATTATACATTTATCTAATAATAAATCCAGATGGTTTATTAGAAATGTATTGTATATTTAAGTACCTATTCTGCTATCATGTTTTGTATAGATAGACTTATGCTTCAGATTGGAAACAATTGATATGTTGTGTATGATGAGTGATTTATAGGCTGTCCTGTATTATTATTAGAAGTTTGACTATTAATGCTGTTAAAAAATATGCTTGTTTATCATACTGTACAGGTACATTCAAATTTGTTTAGTACTGTAAAAGCTTCCATTTACTGATTTTGAAAGGTCCACTGATTAATTTCAGATAAGAAAGTATAATACACACTCAAAGTATTGAAATGCACGCCATCGTGTTGGGATTCAATACTTGGAGTATGAATTATACTTTCATATTGATTTTGCATTTTTAACCAAAAATGAATACTGTCATATACAGTACTTTGCCTTTAGTATTCATTCATATTAACGGCACTTATCTGACAGCAAATCAAAATGTTCAGTGGTGCAACAATGGCACAGCATTAATTAGTTTAGTTTAAGGTTTATTTTTATTTTATTTTATTGTTATTTGCATTTTCTCAGTTGGCCTATATTATTTCCTGTAAACCGCATAGGGGCAATGTGCAATATGCGCTATATAAATATAACATTATTATTATTAATTTAACATTGGCACTTCTCAATGTGTATACAGACCAGAGGTCTTGGAACAAGTTCTCTTTAAGGTTATGGTTATTTGGACATAATAAGCCCCACTGCCACTGGCTATTCCCTTGTGAGGTTAGGAGTACAGCAGTCCACACTATTAAGGCAATAATCATTCCCTCACAAAGGTAGGGTACAGTGAGCCCTATTGATCATCCCCTTGTGAAGGAGCCCCACTAATTAAACAATAAAACATTTGTACAGATAGAGTTTTAGAGGCCCCTCTCCCATGGGATGTCATTTCCAAAACGGTTACATGCATGTGAAAGTCCCGGCCACCTCCCGACAATGCGGGGCATCGTTTTAACGTACATCCCTGGCTAAGTCCCCGCCAGCTACCTTCGTAGTCCTGGTAAAATGCCCCGCTAATAACTGATTGGATGATAAGACCTACTTTGAAAGTCTAGACTAGGCCTAGGTCTGAATGGGAGAAGCATGCGAGAGCTAGGCAGGAGCTAGGCCAAGGAGATAAGCTTGCCTAATGGTAGCACTACGCATGCGTATTACTAAGCAGTTTTCCATGGAAGTTTGGAAAAGTGCGAAAAAAGGGAGTGTATTGACAGATTGATCATAGAAAAAGAATTAATTGATAGATTGATTTAACTGATTGATAGAATTTAATTATTCAATATCAAAACAGAAATTAGGCCAAAATAAGAAAATAAATATGTTGCAAACAGATTTCCTTGCCTTGGCTCATGTACAGTCTGGCATGTTTTTGACGCAAACTAGGTCAAATTCACGGTTCACAAATTTTCCCGCAACACACTCACACGCGCCGCCACCTCGGTCCTCGGTGTGGTTCAAATTTTATTATGTAACTATAAAAAATGAAACCATGATGATAGGCCCAAAGTCCTGGTAGGTGATTTTTTAATTACCAAAACACAGTAGTTGCTGAATGAGTGGCCTAGTGTAGGCTAGGTAGGACCAGAACTGGCTTGACAGCACTTGGCTAGGCCTACACACCCAAAACCGCAAATACTCATGTTAAATTTCCATCCCTTTCGAGGCCTGTTGGGGGGGGGCAGGACTACAATTGACAAGTGCATTAGGCACAGCAAGGTGGCTTGCTAGACCCAACACAGCTGTAAATTGTCTCATCCACGAGGTATTGAAGTTCACTAACATGAGGTACTGTACTTTAAGTCGCCGAGCGGTAAGGCAGGGTACGCAAACTGCATCCCTAATAATGGTGCTGATTCAAGCCCCTCTTCGCCCAGCCAGGTTTTGGTTGGTAGAACCAAGACTTCTCGAATAAGAATTTTAAAAACCGGAGGTACAGTGTGTACACACCTGGCTCATGTGCACTTTAAAGAACACCCCCTGGCCCCTTTGGATCAGGTGCGATGCATGGAACGAGGGTGTGTAGCTGAGGTCGAATATATTTTTTCAATGAGTGGAGGGTTAAAACACCAAGATATTCGACTTCTGCTGGATCGTACCTGATCCTCCCCTTCACCCTAAAGAATTCAGCACAATCAATGCCGCTACGAGTTATACGTTTACCTCACCTTACCTAGTAGGCTTTGTTCTTCGAGCTAAGCTTATTTGTGCTGTACTTCTTTGTACAATTTAGAATCTTCATTCATAAGATATATAGGGCCTAGGCCTATTATGCTGAATGGGTATATAATATAATATTATTAGTTTTCGGGGCCTACTCTAGTACAGGTATGTTAATATAGGCCCTAGTATAGAATAGGCCTAGGACATAGGCCTAAGCTAGGCTAGCTAGAGGTCAAGCGGCGCTAATGCACACCTAGGTAGGGGCCTAGCCTAGGCCTATATTAATATTAATATTATAACAGGGAAGGCCTAGGCCTAGGTAGGTAGGCCTACTTTACTTATCTCGTACTTACCATACACCAGATGGTAAGATATTTGAATTTCCCCCCATATTGGTAGGGTATTTTAGGGCGTACATACAGAGCATCATAATACCATGCGTAGGTGTATACTGAAAACGCAAGTAAATGGAAAACTGTGGACAAAACCAAAGAACTATTATCCCGCGCCATGTTGCCGAAGGGAGCATGCAGCGTGGATGCGGCGGTGGGTATCGCGATGTAAAGATAACGTGCGCCACCTATCGACCTCCTGGTTTCACAGAGCAAATCAGCCAGTCTCACAATAATACCAATGATGGCGCTCAAAAGATATATAGTCTGTAGTGCACACCTTTATACATAGTTTTACATAGATAATAGGCCTACTATAATAACAATGATGATAATAATAAAAACAATAACAATAACAACAACAACAACAATAACAATAATAATAATAATAATAATAATAATAATGATAATAATAATAATAATAATAATAATGATAATGATAATAATAATAATAATAATAACAACAATAATAATAATGATAATAATAATAATAATAATAATAATAATAATAATAATAATAATAATAATAATAATAATAATAATAATAATAATAATAATTTATTTTGATACCACCTTTACAATTAAAAAAAAATTGTCCAAAATGATGACACAATCTTTAGTTAAAGCGATTTTCTACTTTAGTTCGTTCTGTAAATGGATTTTTTTTTAAAGTTCTAGGCTCTTTAAAAGATGGAACGAACTTCTTTATGTTAATCCATAATTTCTATGGATCATGTGGGGTTGATTTTCCCCTTGAATTTATATTATTATTAGTTAAGTTGATGATGTTTAACTACAGATGTAAAGTCTGAAAATGAATGAAAATGAAATGAATGAATGAATTAGGCCTACCGTAGTTTCAAAAGCTGTCTCTTATACACATCTCATCGTTTTAACGTACATCCCTGGCTAAGTCCCCGCCAGCTACCTTCGTAGTCCTGGTAAAATGCCCCGCTAATAACTGATTGGATGATAAGACCTACTTTGAAAGTCTAGACTAGGCCTTGGTCTGAATGGGAGAAGCATGCGAGAGCTAGGCAGGAGCTAGGCCAAGGAGATAAGCTTGCCTAATGGTAGCACTACGCATGCGTATTACTAAGCAGTTTTCCATGGAAGTTTGGAAAAGTGCGAAAAATATTTGTTTTCATTTATATTATATTCAGTGCTTGCAGCTTAGATATAAAATTTATATATAATTATAGGATACGATACCGCAAAACGGTTTAGAGCTTATGTATATATTATTATTATTATATTATAATTATAGGCCTATATAGCGGGAGGTCGCAGGTTCGAATCCCGTCGGAGGCATTTTATTACACAATTTATTTATTTATTTATTTATAGGACGATATTCCTTGAGATATAAGGCTACACGATGTATTATCATGTCATTTATTCGAACACTTTCATTTACCTTTATTTGATGATTTATATATAATTTAACAGTGTTAACGGCTATCTTGATATATATTATATGCTATTATTTGTTTCCAGCCGTACCTATTGTGTATGGAGTGTATCTGACGTTATTTGAATCTGTTCACCCATTAACGATTAAAACATCTTGATTCAAATAACCGTCAGGTACACATTACACAATATATATCATCATAATTTTCATTATTATTTTTGTCAGTTTCTTATTTTGTGTATTCTCCCAGCTTCGTCTCCAAAGTCTTTTGCTATAGGCAAGAGAGGGAAGTTTTCAATCTCGTAGCAGGTCCAAACTTTGCTTATTTGGTAGTACCGGCCAGTGACGTATCTAGGAGTTATGAAATGGGGAGGGGGAAGGTGAAGCGGGGGCGGGAGAAATATTAGGTGGGGGAGGGACGCTGGCTCTCAATATATTTGAAGTGATTTTAACTAATTGACTGTGACTTTTTGGTTTTTGGAGCAGTTGGAAGACTGGGTGGGAGGAGAGTATTTATATGACACACTGTAGCCTACTTTATTCTTTTAATAGTAGGCGTGCCTATTTTCAGCTGTTTTCTGGATCATCAATATCAACCTCTCATTAGAGCGCGTTCAAGAGTTCCGCCGCCGTCGTACAGCCTGTACAGGTCTGCCACAGGGTGTACCAAGTCCTCCGAGCAGATGTCCAAACAAAATGACATGTTAAATACGCAGTAGTGCTGGTATAATCACGAACAAGATTTTCGTCGAAATGTTAACATTAAATTTACTGCAGTATCAAACTTTCATTCATCGTCCCCCGTCTCTGTCACCTATTATTTAACGCGGACATGATCATGTTTATGTTTTTAAATTTCTTCCACTGCGGCACCTCTGAGCTTATGGCCATAGTCTTTTTGACTATCCTTCCATGGCATCTCATTTTTTTTCTCGTGCTCTTTTGTCTTTATTATAGGCCTATGCTTTCACAATGTATTCAATTCAATACTTTTAAAGTGAAACAAAAACATTACATGTGACTGGATGATGTTTAAAATATGCTGTTGTTTGAGTTTTCATAATTCAAAGAAAATCCCAATAACTTTAGCATTTGTTAGTAAAGTTTATCGTTATCTCTACAACCTAAGGAAAATCCTTATCTTATACTATAGGCTTAGCCTCGATTTCGCGCCATTCTAATCTCGAACGAGCTTCTTCAATGACGTCATTGTGTTCTCCAAGCGTGAACGCTTGTGTGTTTAGCTTTGGCAGCATTATATTCGCAACGATGGAAAGCCTGTTACTGTTAGGGATTTCTTCGATTAAACATGGCAACAATTTACCGAATACGTATCGTCATAGGTTCGTAAAGGATAAGTGTTAGATTTTATACTTCAGAACGTGAATTTGGTTTCTACATGAGGAAGTCTTAAACAAGAGCCTGAAGACAAATTTGTCTGAGTGATCCAGTTATTTTTATGTTGTCGTAGTGTGTTACGCACAAGGCCAGGGCTACCACCACTCACTACCACACCAGACGGAGATGCCACGTCAAAAACAATCGAATCCGAAAGCGCTAAAACGTGAGTATTTCTCTTCACCTTGTCACTATATTTGACTAGCTATATAAGTTAATGTTTAGAGATGTCTCCGCCAGCAGTTAGTTCTTCAAATAATCTAAAATTTTGAAAATAAAGTTTGTTTATGCGGGAAACACGAATCTTTCGGGGAAATACCTCACCGGAGCAGACGTCCATGTTTAGGGGTTCCCTCATTACGTATTCAAGTTTTCTTGCCTCTCATTTCCTGTTATTTCATCGTTCAGTCTTTTCTTTAATAACTTAATACATGTATAGTTATAAAGATTATATATCATTTGGCAAAATAGTTGACTGTTATATGTTATTTTTGAAGTTTCATATGGATATGAATGGGAAATTCTACATGAAACATTGAAAGCTGCTGGCGGAATTTGGGGAAGCCTTGGGCTATTCCATTTTTGTACAATATGAGGGGAGTCATTTATTTTAAAATGATGAGCTTTTTTAAATAATAATTTAAATATTTTTATTAGAGTATGTTTTTACAAATATTAGTATTTAAACGAAAATTAGATTAAATAATTATTCTTGATTAATATAGGTATTCAAGTGTTATTCTTATGAGTAAAATATGACTATATCATTAAAATGTGATACAGTACATTAAAAATTCTCCATATTGTATGTTAACTAAAATAAATATTTAACATTAATTATTTTAATGCCAAAAAGTTTATTTTAGCTAATTATGTTGATTTTTAAAAATCTTTCAGGGTAGGAAAATTAAAAGGTAGCTTTCTAGGGCCTATATTTTCATGATGTGAATTGGTATTTGAATGGCCATTGAAATAACAATTCCTATGTAATAATCTTAAAACTTTTAAAAAAATATTTATTAATAAAATTATTATTATTGATTTTATAAGTACTGTATAGTCAAAACAGGTTTAGTTTTATTGTGAAAATATCTTAAAGTAAAATTTATTCTTTTGAATATACTTAATTATTCACTATAATTAACCAGGGCGGCCCAATTGTTCGAAAGACTAGTCTCTCATGTACAGAGACCAATGAAATTGAAAATAGTAATAATATTAATTTATGTTAGTAGACCTTTTAATTTGCATGTCTCCCATAACAATAAAAATATAATTATGTTAAGCTAAATTTCTGTTGCCGGTGTAAAATTTGCATTTTGTATTCAGATACAATAAATATTAATCAAATACTGTAGTGGCTTACCGTAGTAGTACTAGCACATAAAATGTGATTCATGAAAAGTAATTTATTATTTTGTATTAATAATTTTAATAATACTGTACACATTCATTCCTACTAATTTTTTTTAAGCCACAAAATATTAATCTGCTATATGTCTAACACCCCCACATAGTAAATGGATGATATCTAGCTATAATAATAAATCAACATGGATATATTGATGAATGCAAAATAGGTTTGATATTGGTACATAATGAAAGAACAACAGGGAGAATTTGCTACTGGCGATTGCATATTAAATGATTTTACAGAGCGTTTTAGAAAGGCGTTTACACAATGTGGAATATATTCAATGAAATTAGTAGTTTTGTTTGTTTAGTCGTAGTAGTGACAAGAGATGAATAACTAACCTCGATGTCCAGCCACTTGATCAGATCCTGTATATTAACGACTCATCGTTGCAATAATATAACAACAAATATGAATTTTTGAATTAAGTTGGATTGATGAGTTTAAAAATCTTCTTTAAATTTGATGTGTGTTAGAATACCAGATCTAAATACTGGTATAAAACACAATGTATATCTAGTTGTATTATGAATTCCAAAATGGGAAAGGAGAGATTTCATGAATAATTTTTTTTTCTAGTATAATAGATTTGATCTTTTTCCAAATTTTCCTTTGGCTTTCAGTCTTTTTCTTGTATCATATTTTATCATTTCAGTTACTAATTTTTTTAGGGGAATGTGGTGGGGTTAAAATGGTAGTAGAGACTTCCTACAGTAAATTTGATGTTCAAATTTGAACTCTTATGGCATCATACAATACTGTATATTAAATTTCTTGTATGAAGTTTTTCTAAATGTCAATGACCCCATCTTTCAGTATAACATTTTACATACTGCAGAAACTATGTTGATGAATTTTTATCCTGCTGTTCAATAATCATAACATTTTTACTACGTTTAACATTTGACCTCAGTGCGCATTGATTTGGTTGAATCTTCTACAATTTGATCTTGGCTGAATCCCATT